TCCCTCGGATATTTGACCCTCGGCTGCGGTTGTATTCAAGGGGCTGACGCCAGAGTGTTTGATTCTGCCATTCCCGTTTTTAGTTGTTATGAGGTGACCCTGATTAGTGTTTGATGGGTTAGGTTCTGCTATCGACATTGCAGTATTAGAATTATATGGTGTAGCTAAATTCGATTCGGCATGTTGTTGCGCTAACTCTGGTTCCTCGGTTTGCATATCAAGATTGTCGGTCAGTCCAGTAAAGTCGGGTTCATCGAAAAAGTTAAAATCTGCCTCCGTAATGCCCTTGGTGTCGAAGTTCGCGACATCCATATCCCCAAAAAATTCTTCGTCAGCCGCAGTATCATAAAGACCCGATCCAATTCCAAGTTCGGATGACGCCGGGTCCAAGGCGGTTGGCAAAATCTCTGAATTCCCACGAAAATATGTTGTGGGTCCACCCGCCTCGTTATAGATTGATTCAGTTTGGGTAGGTGCGTAACTTAATGTGTCAATGGTAGATGTTCCAAGTCTCTCAGATATGCTGCCTGCTCCCATATATTGGGCGAGTGCACCACCTGGTGGGGTGGGATATACAGCGCTCGCAAGTTGTGCTTCTGGCATGTTAATAGTCCTTGCTAAGCTTTCTGGCATGTCTGAACGGTCAAGTCTCAGGGGAGATGGTTCTGAGCGTTTGAGCTGTTGGTTTTCGAGCCCACTTTGATCGTCCGAGGATTTATGTTTATCGATGGGTTGGCTGATCCGACAAACCTCTTTGACCCATCTTTCCGCGAATTGCAATGGGCTCTCAGATTGGCCGGAGAAGAACTCAGTGGGATTGGCAGGGGCGGTCAACTTAGACCGCGACCTAGTGAAACATAGTCTTCCGGGCCATAAAATTCGGATAAAAGGAGACGATTTTTGGTGATTCAACGCTGATTTGGAAAACAGGTCACAAAACGGTCGGTCTGATACGTTAACTTCGACTTCAACCCAAAACTCCGATTCCGGGTTGTTTAGGTGCAGGCCAAACATTTTGAGCCATTCAGACACATTTTTCTTCCATTCTCGTTTATTAGCATTTATTTTGTCAGCTGGCAGTTCAGCATGGTGTGGAGTGGTTCCCATAGGATCTGGGGAAACCACATTTGATAGACTCGATTGATATTCGCTAGTCGACGTGAGCCTACACAGCGTCCCTGAAGGCGCTAGCCAGACATCATCGTTCAGGCGGGTAGCAATTATATCAGATTCTGAATCATGATGTAACTGCTCCAATCCGGGCTGCGGGAGAGTGCTAAGGGAGATAACGAGTCTACCTTTAGATGTCAGGTTTATATCAAGGGTGGAAAGGAATGGTGTAGACTTTCGCGCAAGTGGTGAATCCTCTCCGCCTTGATACTCGTTCTCATTGAGAGAAGCGTAGAGAGTTCGAGTCCCAAGTGGAACTACCTTTTGTTGTCTTGTGAATTGGAGGGTGACAGTTTTGGAAATAGAAGATAAAAGAGCCTCATGGAAAGCAGAATAAGTTGCAAGGTTTTGCAACTGTGAATATTCACCGACGTGAGGTGATAACCTATTCTGCGTTGCCGCACCGTTAAAAATGCTGGAACTAGGACCAGATAGTAGATGCTGTTTGATCTCCGCTGCTGTGTTAACACCAGATGCGACGTCTGATTCATGAAATTAGTGTGTGCCATATGTAAAACGCAATAGATATGGAAATTATACTTAGGAATGTTGCATTCCCAGCAACAATCAGACCCTCGCGAGGCTGGTGGTTCCCTGACGCCCGCGCCAGGGCATCAAAGTCTGGGCTGGCGGAAAATATCCATAATTCGGGTCTATCAGCCAACTGTGAAACAAGACAGCCTGCATTTCGCAAGGCAAATAAGGAACTCCATATTTCGTTTGAGTTCCTCAGAGTTGAGCTTTCCACGGGCCCAAACTGTGACCCGTCCGATTCCGGTGCTACTATGGAGTAGATTCTCCAGAATATATCGAAGAAGTCGTCCTTCCCGTGACTATTAGTAAACATAGAACAACAGGCGCAGCCTACAATTTCACTTACAATAACTCGGAAGTTTGTGAGCGCACCTGCTGGGAAATCCATGAGGGGCAAGTCCCTGGAGACGTTGGGAAAAACCCTCAGTTGGCCAACGGCATAGAAAGGCTTTCATGGAGTAATACCACTAGGTCAAGATGCATATCGAAAGTATGATAATGATGCATACACTAAGCTTAGGGTCAAATACTCTGCTGGGTTAGACGGCGATCTATACAGATCGGGCCTGTCGTGGTTTGTTGGATATTGTGGAAGGATGCCAAGCCGCGCAAAATTGAAGTGACGATAGAGACAGTCTTTATATGGGACCGGCAACAGACATATTGGATGTGGAAATCCTATGCAATAGAAGAGGTGGCCTTGAACATGGTCCATTTCTTCCATAGACGCAACAACCCGGTTGCGGGTTTGATATTGAACGGAGATTCCCCAGAGCATCAAAGCTTGGCGCCCGGGAGAGCCGCAGCCAAATCGGGCTAGTTAGTTCCCTACGAATGGATCTCTTGGTATGTTTGCCTCTAAGTCAAACAGTTTAATTCAACTTTTTTTCAAGTTAAACAATCGAAATTGCGGATTTTGTTGGACATCTGAAATAATACTCAACATTTCGTGGATTTGGAGGAACTATTCAAAGTCTTGCAGCTATGAAGCTGTCAAATTCCTCCAGTGTCCCTGTGTACACTATATCCGGTTCCTCAACCGCCAGACCGCTTCCAGAATGGCTTGCTAGAAAACGGAAGCGAAGCCTCAAGAAAGACCCAGAATACGCCAACAGGGTTGAGCTTCTCCAAGACTTCGAGTTCGAGGAAGCCAGTCAATGTATCCGTGTTAGTGAGGATGGTCAATGGGTTATGAGTACCGGTATGCCCCGGGTTTTCTATTTACGCAAAGGACAATTTCGCTGATTATAACAAACAACAGGCACATACAAGCCGCAGATACATACCCATTACCTACCGCATTTATCGCTCTCCTTTGCTCGTCACACCGTTTCCTTGAATACCACATTTCTACTATTGTCGTCAGATTATTCAAAATCCTTGCACCTACAGGCAGATCGATCATTAGAGTTTCATACTCCCTCGGGTTGCCACTACACCACCCGATTGCCCAGGTATGGTCGTGACTTGATATACGACAGACAATCAGCGGAAGCGCTCATACCATCCGTCGGTGTTAATCAAGATGGCATGGGCGAAGTGTATAGGCTGAATTTAGAACAAGGGCGGTACATGAAATCCTATGAAGTTGAGGTTGGTGGTGATGACTTTTCTTCTGCTGGTGGCGGAGCCCTGCAAGGGGGAATCAACACTGGCAGCGTGAACACTGCCGCAATTGCTGAAGAGAGTCACAACCTTCTCGCGTTCGGAACATCCATTGGAACTGTGGAGCTATGGGATCCGAGAGCTAGAGCCAGGGCAGGCATTTTGGTCCCACCTTCGGACTCCCAGCTTAGCGAGACTAAATCAGAGATCACCGCCCTTGAATTCCATCGATCTGGATTGACGCTCGCTACTGGGTCTTCCCAAGGCCTTGTGCACCTGTTCGACCTCCGATCCCCAACACCGCTCTTGAAAAAGGACCAAGGATATGGATATCCGATCCACACCATTAATTTCCTCACTCCAACGATTGCAACGCGTGAACAAACCTTGGAGCCCAAGATCCTCACTTCAGATAAGCGGATTATTAAGATATGGGACGCTCGGGATGGAAAGCCCTGGACCTCCGTGGAACCGGCAGTTGATATAAATAGCGTGGCCTGGTGTAAAGACAGCGGTATGCTTCTAACTGCCAACGAAGGGCGACAGCAACACGCATTCTTTATTCCCCAGCTTGGACCCGCCCCGCAATGGTGTGCGTTCCTAGATAACATTGTGGAGGAAATGGCTGAGGATCCCAACGATCCTCACGCCTTTACTGGCCAAGCGGGCTCTGTTTATGATAATTTTAAGTTCTTGACAGTCCAACAACTACGGAGTCTCAACCTGGACCATTTGATTGGCAGAACTACGCTTTTACGGCCCTACATGCATGGATACTTCGTTGCGCAAAGGCTATACGAGGAGGCGCGGTTAATTTCCAATCCGTTTGTTTGGGAAGAAGAAAGAGCGAAACGGGTGAAGGAGAAAATCGATCAAGAACGCGAAAGTCGGATCCGGGGCAAAAAGAAGATCTCGGTGAAGGTGAATAAGAAACTTGCGGAGAAGTTTCTTGAGAGAGAAGACCGGAATGAGCGACGACGAGCTCAGCGTGTTCTGGAGCATGGCGGTGATGAGGAAATGGCCGATGCTGCTGAAGCTAAGCCTTCTCAACCCAGCCGCTCAGACAACCCGCTTACCGATTCTCGATTCGCTAAGCTGTTCGAGGATGAAGACTTCGCTGTCGATGAGACATCGAGGGAATTCCGTGAATTAAACCCAAGCACTGCGGTTACAACTACTGATCCCAGACCGGAGAGAGGGTTAACTGCCGTCGAAGAGGAGGCTATTGATGAGGTGCCTGCATCTAGCTCCGAGGATGATGAGTCGAGCGAAGATGAAAAGCCGGCCAAAGCCAAGGCTTCTGGCCGCATATCTACAGTCTCCTACAGAAAGACCAAGCGTCCTCCACGGATGCAAGTATCATCGTCAACTAAAACTACTCAAGCGCGTGATAGGTCCTTTGAGTCAAGGGTACATAAGTCACGAACGAAAGAGCGCCCGTCCAAGAATACTGCAGTGGGAGAAAAGATAGTCACATTTGCCCCCCAGCCAAAATCTCGCCCCAAGCCGGCAATTGTCCCTGAAAGTAATGGATCTTCGAAACACTCAAAGGATCGTAGGAGCGCATCGGGCAACACGTTCCGTAGAATGTGATTGGAAACGAACGGCTGTGTGCATCGTTTGTGCATAATCTGGCAATATATTTCTTGTGTGGGATAATGTTATATGATATTACATTATGTAACATGGGGTCAGATTTTCACCTTGGGAGGCAAAACAGTCCTGCGGTGATGGACGTAGCTGATGCTTTGGAAGATCCGAGCAGCTTCGCCCCATAGTTCCTGTCGCAACACGGCATACACTCCCATCTTCGCCTTGGGTGCCCACTTTCGTGCGGTTTCAATGGCGGCATCCAGCATATCCCCTGGTTCGGCTATTTGATCTACAATTCCGTCCGCCAGCGCCTCTTTCCCTGTCCATTTATGTGCTTCTAGCAACATCCTTCGCGCAATTTCTGGACGGAGTTTCAGATGTGCTAGGGATCCGATTCCAGGAAAGTGAACGCCGATGTTAACGGGCGGCATGGAGAAAAATCCACGGCGGGAGTTCATGATTCGATAGTCGTGCGCAAGGGCTAGTGGACACGCTCCGCCAAATGTATGCCCGTTCAGCAGGGCTATTGTTGGATATGGGTAGTCGAGAAGCGTATGTAGGAGCTGGCATCGAATATAGGATTAGTCGGAGGGAAATATCATATTCGTCACCGCTTACGGTGCTGGCTAGGGAGGTGAACTAACCGGAAAGTAGCCGTCTGTATTTGAGAAAGGGTTCCTCTCTGCTTCATCCAGATCCAAGCCCTATTGCAATCAACAAATACAGCTCGTTTTTAAGTTAGACTTCTCCATAGTTGCTAAATCGCAAAACTTTTTTTCAAAGCAGTAGATATTGCTAAATCAAACAATTTACAACGCATATCTCAAAATAAATAAGAACCGCAGTTCTCCAGCCATTCCATTCTAAATTCCACCCGAAAAGCACTAACCGTACTCCAAAACTTCTCCCCCTCCCCCCGTATAATCACCGCCGCGCCTACCCCAGCTCCTCGCTCGTCCTTCCCGGCAGCGTCAACCATGCGCTCCACATCTCGCAAAGCGCAGATAATCTCCTGCGCAAAGGCGGTCGCAATGCGATTCTCGGGAGCCTTTTGGAGAGTAATCAGGTATATTTGGGGGTCGTCCTTTGCAGTCGATGAGTTGGACGGGGCGTTCGGGATGCGGGAAAGAGTGAGGTTTCGGTACGTCATGATGCGGCTACTGTGACGGTATTTGGCAAAGGGTATTATTATTGGTGGGCAAGTCACTAAGAGCAAGAGAAGCACAATATATCAAAACAAAGAATGCACCGGCTATTCTCTGCAATTGTGTTTTTTAATTGTTTGATGTCGAAGTTGATGTGTCGGCCAGTGAGTGAGTTAGTTACGGGATCGATCCATGCAATATTTAAATAATGAACCTCGGCGCGGATCTAAATAAGTTCATTCTTCAGCTGTCAACAACAACCGTAACCGCTCATCCTCAAGTCAATAGATGCAATTGAAACCTCGCCTCCATAATGAATACGCTAAAATGTGTTCCTGGTAAGATGAAGATATATTCATCATTATTCTAACTTTCTGTCACGTATCCTGCGGCGACTAATAATTCTACCCTAGTTTAACAACATTTAGCCAAACTATTTATGGTGAATAGAATTAGATGCAGAAATAGCCAGGAAACTCAATTTTTGTCACATCATAAAACGGGTATTCATACAGCGATTCTGACACCAGGCTTTTTCTAAGCTTCAACACCAGCTCCCTTTGGTGCTGCCACCACGGCGTGGTGGAGCGGCTTCAGTTCCCCTGCTTTTCCCTTGGCCTGACTGGGCACCTTTTCTCCGAAAACTTCTAAACTATCATGTCCAGGGTATGGCTCCGAGGGAACAGGTTTCCCAAGGAATTCACACAGAGGATTCCACCCTTCCTTGATATCATATATCAACAGCTTGTCTTTTGGTACGAGCTCGCAGATTTCATTGAAATGGGTCTTGAATGCCGCCTTTGCCGTATTTAAGAAATCGCCTCTAAAGAAAGCATACAAAATTTTATCCCGCAACATTTTTGCAGCCAATTTCTGCGGATCTTCAATATCAGGATTCACTTTACTTTCTTTTTGTTCTTGGGCCATCTTCGCTTTGATGAGCTTGGCCCAGGACCTGGTTACGTAAGTCAATGATGTCTTCTAAGTGCCGAAAGGCCTCCCTGGAGAAGCGCCTTTGATAACAGGAAAACAGGCAAAGGAACCCAGCGGTGACTTACATGTACCATTCATCAACATCACGCGTGTTCAGGATTACCTTTGCCTCCGGGTATGCCTTAATCAACTGTGGGGCAAACGCACAACATGGGCGCCCAACAACAGCCTAGTTACCAGCAGCTGAGTGTCAGATGGGCATCACCAAAGAATTCCATTGTGATCTCTGTTTCTCACCTGGCAGCCTTCGAATAAACGATCAAAATCCCCCTTCTTGAAGGTCTCTTTCCCTTCAAATACTGTGTCAAATGCTTCGAGCCATGCTTGTGTATCTCGTGTTCGGTCATTGATAGATGACGTGAAATAGTATATGTCATGATATCCCAGCATCCCTAGGGCAGCGTGGATCGCTGCACAGATGAGACTCCGTTAGCACGCGATCACATTCGACAGTACGATCTTAACGCACAATTTGCCCCTGCTCTTGGAGGCCCAAGACAGAGCACTTTCACGGGCGCCACCCGAGCCCGACTCGGACCACCATTGGCTGCAGCATAACCCTCAATCCCGTTCATTGCAGTCGCGATCAAATCTTGTCCAAGGAAGGGAATAAGTGGTAATGGTGCGTTTTATATTATTATATTATTGCCAATTTTATCCAGGGTTGATGTTTGAAATACGAGGTGATTTAAGGTTGATTCTACCTGTTTTAAAAAGTGGGAAGGCGGAATATATTTATATACAAGCATAATATGGACATACGCCAGGTGGCCACTCACCTCAATTCTCCTACTAGACACTTTTAGGGGCGATACAGAGTAGTTTATTTTGAGGGTTGTAAGATGGCACCGACAAGGATTGACCACTGCGGTGGGGAAATATTCTTCTGACCCTTGTCACTTCAGGTTGAACATGGCTCAACATCCGTCCCGTGCACAATTGGCCAGTGTGTTCATTACCTCATACCAGATTTATGGTCGGAAATAGTCAAAGGACGCTCTGTTGCAGGTCGCAATGTCGTGTCGTTTGAGGGAAGAGGCGGCTCCATGCGCGAAACGCGCGTGTCTGTTCTTCAACTCGTTCTTCATGGCGCATACACACCGCTCTCTTGGTTGACTTAACAGTCAATAATTATTTTCGACGGATTTCACGGAAACTGGAAGAAGCCATAAATGGTACCCGGCCAAGAATACAGCCGCGGCTTTCATTACCAATACCGTTAGGAAATCCGGGCCAAGTTACACCCCACAAGGATTCATGCTTCAAAACTTACTATCGAGGGCGGGGTGGATGGTTCATTCTATGAAATGATATCTTCCATGTCGGCCACTTTCGGCATCGGTTTGCGTCGTTGGGGCTTTCGTATTCATACCCAGTTTACGAACAAGCGAGGATGAAGAGGGAGCGCTGGAGATTTCTTCATGCAACTTCTTCGCAGTTACAACCGTTCATATATTCACATCACGCTAAAATTTTTTCTGGGAGTTGTCTTGGTGCATGTCAACATGGCTTCTACCAGGATGGAGTTAGCGGCGCGGCATGTTCCAGTTTCTGACATTGAAAAAGCCACACCCCCCTGGTATAGTGACATTTTCATGTGCCAGAAATTTATTGTGGCGATAAACTCCATTATTTCAACAGCAAGGGCGTATTACTAGAATGGAAGCATTGAACCACCATGGATTTAATACCTGGCCCTGAATGAGACCGCCTCATGAATGATGTCAATTATTCACTGATCACCACATCTCTACGTCCGACCGTCGATCTCCCGTCCACAAATTCTCCGGATACTCAGCCATGTCCAACGGTTTACTATTATTAAACCTAAATGTATCCACCGTAGGAGCAATATTGTTGTTGTTCTGCAAAAGTACGATGTTGTTTTGTCGTACCTCGGTATCAAATCTCACTCATAAAGCACCCACCCCTGTCGCCTTTTAACCGCGTCATCTGTTGCAGTAGTGAAATCATAACTAACCGGTTATATGACAGACCTCTAACGATATCTGATACATGATTCAATGGCTCGCGAATCGTAGAAGTGACCGACTTGCTGTTCAATATTCCTTTTGGAAATTTTGGACAAGGATCGATAGCAGGAATGGAGCAACCCCCAGAACTTCCCGTTTTTGTTCGACGCTCTATAAGTCTAGGCCAGACCATTTTTGTGTCCAAGGAACGCGGGGAGGGCCCAGTCAAATATATATTTAAATCGCCGGAATAGAAATCTCGCCGAGGTTGATGCTACCAATGGGCGACACGGAACACAACATCAATGTATCACGTTATGGGCCGTGATATCAGCCGTTAGCTATTGCGCAAACATCAAACGGCCTGTAAGAACAAAGAACATCAAATTTCGAGCATGCCTTTCTAACATGCGCTACATGTTTTTGGCCAATAACGAAGCCCGATGGCTCCCGCTCCGCTTCCAGGCCACTGACCTATTTAACCCCTACCCCAAAGCGCGGGCTTACATACACTCTAGGATACACAAGCACTGCTGGATTCAGGAAGTCAGATACCTGTTCACAGCAATTTAGACAAATGTTTCCATGGGATGATTGCATCTGGAAAATGTCTAGATAACAACGGCTACCACAATGACTATGATCCACATAAAACGTGGACTGGAGATAGGACAATTGGAATTGTTAACTGATCGCGTGTTTCGTCCGTGTGAGGAAGATAATACAATACCTTTCCTTCTTTTCCACTAACCGTCGTGCTCTGTTACTCTGCTTATCAACCTCTCGCGTTACAACAGTACGAGGTGTTTCAGGGGCTGTAATAGGGTTGATCGCCGAAATCTTCGAGGCATTAATTACGCAGACCTAATCTCGGCGCTCGAAAGATTCTTCGGAACGGAAATTATAGTTGTACACCCTTGAATGCATGAAAAATGCATAGTGCCGTGATGCAGGCTTGTCCACACGGGTTGCTTCTTCAGCGCCCGGGATTCCTCTCAACGGCTTCCTAAATTTGCCTAGTCGGAATCACCATTTCTATTCCTCGTTGCCCATGGACCAGTTGCCAAACTCGTTGGATAATACGCAGTTCCATGCAAAAATAACACGTTCTCTGTGCCTCATACCTTGATCTCCCATTTCCCGCTGAATGTTGGGAAACAAAAATACTATAGACGTACGGAGTATATATGAGCAGGATCGGTGTCTAGGTCGTACCTAGATAACCAAAAATTCCAACCTTTTGGCGAGGTACTATAAGCAGCATTTCTCTGATGCATTTACTCCATTTCTACGTCCTCTTCTGCTTCCAATTTAGAGGGGAGACCGCTGATAAATATGGATTAAATTACTTAATTCCACCGCCATACGCGCCACTTTTTGTTATATGCCCTGGCACGGCGAAGGAGCCATGGAAATGCAGTTCTGCATGCTGGAGAATGCTCTCTTCATTACAGAAAATCAACTACCACCTAAGATCAACTCAAGACTATCATGGAGCAACGGGACCACAATTATTTCTGTGAGACGTCACCGCCGTCCAGGGGATCCAATCCATTCATCCCCCCTAACTCGAACCTGTAAAACAAACTCATCTCCCCACCTTCAGAGCGGATAATCCGCGGCAGCAGCAGATGCCTGCTCCACCGCATCCGCCTACAACGACATCAGGCGGCCCTCGGTCCCATAGACGAGATCCGTCTCTAGCGTCTCCACTGCAGATGTCTCTTTCTGCATGGCAACTAGATCAACAGGGTCTTTGCCAAAGTCATTGTGCTGTTTGGGTGTGCTCTGTAAGGAGCATCATTAATAGCTCCAAGAGAAAGAGGGAGGATAGAATTATATAGGACTTAATACAGTGCTATGTAATGTACTATATGAATGATAGAGAATGAATTAAAGAGAGAAACAAGAAATGAGTGAATATTTGTTTCTAAATCTACAGAACACAGCACAGCACAGCACAGCACAGCACAGCACAGCACAGTACAGCATAAATCTGTGAAAAATATAAGCTCATCTTCAGATAAATGCTCACATAGTGTGATAATCACTGATGCTCTTTGCACAGCTGTGTGTGCTTGTGATGAAGATGACAATGATGTCACTGATGAGCACTGAGATAAGAATACCAGTGCTGTGACAGTTGATTTTACCACTGTCTATACACAGAGTAGATGACTCTTGCAATATATATTATTTCATAGCATTATTTTGTTAATGAAATTCATTGTGATCATATATTCTAAGATGATTTTGTTAATGCTCATATAGAAGACAGCACAGTACTCACAGACATATTCAGATGAAAATGAGAAGTAGGTGGTCAAATATTCCTTAACACACCTCGAGTATTTGAATTATTAAATAAACAATAACAAAAAAAGTTTTCTTTTTAAAAAAATACTAGAACCTACTCTCTTCTCCCACCAATTCCCCCCCTCAAAACAAAACCTCCATCATCGTACGTTCCTGTATAAGTATTCCCAGGAGTACTGCGGAAGTCCCAGATGATAGTTAGCGGTACTATATAACTAACTATGTAGCTGCTGGAATTGATATGTAGAACTGAACTGCGGCGAGACGAAATCTGTTTATTGTAGTGACTGAATGGTGTTAGTTGATCCCACATGTAAACAGGCTCAAATCAACTCTGCAAAGCCTCTCAGTCTCGGGAGTTAACTTGATGGCGTATTCAAGCCGAAGAGTTACAGCTGCTGCGCGGTTTCAGGCGGGGTTGAAGAAAGGGAATGCTGTCAAATGCCTTGAATTTGAGCCTCCTCAGTCAGGTATGATAGAAATGAGTAAAGGCAGATGAGTCTTGTAATACAGATAGTTAAATATGTACTGTAAGTACGTACATACATGAGCTATGGTACCAGAGAAAGCTGCACTTAAAAAAGGTAGTAAAAATAAAAGAAAATAAAAAAATAAAAATAAAAATAGAAGGGAGATGAAGATTTCAACTGATAGTGAGAAATATTATAAATCTCTTCTTAAAGATGATATATAAGATGAGAAACTCATCTGACAAGAGTTTGTATTTATTTCAGTCTCTTGTAATTATAGAAAACACAATTCAACAAACTGAGGCAAAGCATGTATTACAAAACACAGATGGAAATAAATAAAAAAGCACAGAGAAAGATAAAAAGAGCATGAGTAGAGAGATAATTATTCTCTAATCCTCTCAGTAATAATATATATATATAGCTTTGAACATTATGTAGATAGAAAGAATTGAGAAGGCTGTCTGATTAACAATAAAAAACAAATATACAGACAACATCAATCAAGAGTGAGACAGAATAAATAAAATATTATGTTTTGAATTCTCTCTTCTCTACCTAGATACTCCTCTCTACCAAACAAAAAAATCACAGCATGACTGTCATTCAATCAAGTCCATCATTGAAAAAAAAAAAAAAAAAAAAAAGCTGCATGTTTTAGATAACCATGAGAAGAAAAAACCTGTGAAGAGAGGAATTTTTTTTGTTAAAGAGAAAAAATGATTAAAAAGTAAAATGAGAGGAGTGGAAAACAGAATATAAGATATATAATGAAAGATATAATATATGAAATATATTCAAACTTTGCGCCTTACGGCTTGATATTCTTCATCTTCATTCCCATTTCTCTCATCTCCTATATCAGAGATATCAAATGAAGTAAAAGGAAAATGCTAAGAGGCCAGCCAGTATGAGTGATCATAAACAAAAAGTCACAAAAAGTCACAAAAACACAGCTAATCAGCTAAAAATTAAAAAAGAGCAATAGCTGGTCTGATAGAGAGCTTTAAAAAAACAGAAATGGCTTGAGAAATCCAATTATTATGTGATTAAAATCACAAAACACACATAATAGAAATGAAATGAAATGAAATGAAAGCGCCGCTTGTTGGTACTGAGAGGAAAGGGGAATTCTAGATAAGTTTCAGAATAGATGGAAAATGATAATGGAAAATAGAAACACCGAATGGCCAAGCAAACCTCCAAAAAAGAGAAAACGTATGATGAATGATATCGAAGATAGAATAAAAAGGGTGGGATAGTGGTTATATAGCTGGAATCTACAGCCGCGCACGCATGTTATATGCATGATGGAGAGATGATTGAAGGTCCAATCGAGTTGGTTATGAGTGTCGTTTGGGTTGGTTGTGTAGCTGGAAACATTGAACTCGCGTCAGCAAAAAGAAATGTTGGTGGAAAAATTGGAATATATATCCGAGATGGATGGCATAGCGCAGGGCGGGTAGGTTAGGGGTACACATGTGCAAGTGCAAGTGATGAGTAGTTCCGGCTTTTAAGAGGGGGTTCCAGGACTCTTCTGCTTCCCCGTTCGTGACAGTCTTTAAAAACAATTCCGCGGCCGCTGTTCGCAGCTATACACGGACGTAGAAACATTATTGAATAGTGTCCGCCTCTCTTTCAATTATTGCCAAGCATGAAACCCGCTACCGCTCGAAGGTCCCCGTCGTCCACTTCCACGTCTCGACCCACTAATACCGGTACCAGGACCTGATGAATCAGCCCCACTTAAACTGCCCCTCCCCCCACCATCGAGACTACCCCGTGCAATACCAAAATCACTCATGGTAAAGAGAAGTGGTTCATCGTCTTCCAAATTACTGGCTGATGGTGGGCCATGGTAGCGGGTGAAACTGAACCGTTGTGTGGATCCACCGCCGCTGCCCAGCCCACGGCGTGAGTCGGTATTGGTGGACATGCCGCTGTTGCTGCCGCTGCCCTGGTAGGCGTCCCGATCACGCTCAGCCCCGTGGGATGAGGGAAGGGCGTTCCCGCGCCCTAGACTGCTGGATACTGAGCTTTGCGAATGGGCATGTCCTGTGGAGCCTCGGCCGCGCTGATGTGAGAATCGCGGCTGGTATGGATGATTAGAGGTGGTGCTGGGTGCACGGTACTTAGTTGAGGTGGAAACGTCGTCAGAGTTGTTGGAGTCGTCACACACACGTTGGGTGGTTTGGAGCATATCAGGTGCAGCGGCATCATTGTCCAGCTCTTGTTGGCGTACCAGAGCGCTCAGGCTGAGAGGTGATCTATCTTCAGCTCCGAGGCTTAGACTTCTCATTCCGAAAGGCAGGAAATCGGCTGTCTCATCCTCGAGGGCTGCACTTGACCTTCTTTGAGCAGCAGAACTGGAACGTCGATAGCTAGGAATGAACGGGCGAGGAGATGTGGGGATGTCAATTGCATTGGCGTTAGAATTAGGTGCGGTGGGTTCCGTTGTGGGTGCTTCGGTGGGTGCTTCCTCCAGCATCGATCCGTGTGATTCATGAGAAAGGCGGTGGCGTCGGTTGTCTGGACGATCCTGGTGGGAGTAGTCAATTATACTGTTCGAGCTGAGACGGGAGGGAATGGCAGGCGTATGTGGCGTATGCGGTGAAATTGGTTTTCCTGGAGACGAAGCTGTCGAGATCGATGTGCCAGCAATCATGGGTGGAACACTGGGGAGCTGCCTACTTGACGAGGTAGATGACCGGTGGAGTACGAGTGAAGACGACATGGAATCAGACAACACGGCGTTTGACTCCTTCATCTTTTGAAATCGCGTGAGAGCAACCGCAGTCCTCCGGGTTGATGCATCCATGGTAGCGGGATCGGATGGGCTTAGTAAATCCTTTCGCATGTCAAGCATCTTGAGGAATTCCCCGATATTACTTTCATCTCCGTGCAAAGAGCCAGAACTGGCACCTCCCGGTTCCGCAATGATTCCGGAGCTAGGTTGGGCGGTGGACGACGTAGCACTAGCCCTTCCGCTCGAGGTATTATCATCATCTGTTTTGCTTATTCCACCAGATGACAATCTCCCTCTTCGATGAGTGAAAGAACTGGTGTACTTGGAGATAGGCGCAGGTCGAGGGGAGCCAGACCCTGACGAGGCAATGGCGTTGTCAGAGGAAACATAAGTAGATTTTCGTGTGACAGATGCAGCACTAGCAGGAGGGGGCATGGTCTTGCTATCGGAAGGGACGTTCACTGGCCCTGTGCGAACAGATGCACTTCGGGGGGATCCAACGGCAGGATCTGCAAGCGACGGAGACGCGGAAAGAGGTGGAGCTTTGAAAGGGGGGAATGAAATCGAAGGTTTTCTTTGGGCAGAATGGACACCGTCTCGAGGGTAGATACCTGGCCTTGCCTGTCCAGGCTTGGGCGAAGGAGGTGATATCGGAGATCCAGACAACCCAGCTCCAAGCTCCCTAGCCGCGCGAAGGGCTGATAATGGACTGACCCCCGTTGCAGGAACTTCATGATGGAAAGTCGATAAACTTCCATAGGCTTGGGCATTGTTTGGTCGCTCATTTTCTCGTCTAGCAACAGGTAGGGATCCAGCTTCGTTTGTTCCGCCGGGGAAGTGATCCTCAGTGGGCAGAGAGGGTCTAAAGTATGTGTCGTCCGCTCCCATGAACCTAGAACTCAATAACGCTTCGGAGTCATCTACCCTGAAATCACAGTTCAACCGATATGTTACTTGAACGGAAAATGGGCCTGCAGGTGATTCAGTGACGCCGAAGACGAAAGTCTCCGTGGTTTTACCAGCGTCATCGTAGAACGGGACGCTCAAAGGGTCGAGCCCCGGATGAGTTTCTGACCGGGACCCTTTGTATATTCTATAGCGGATAGGCAGGCTCGGGTTCGATCGCATTGTTGATTGGCGTGTGGAGAATTTCCAAGCAGGGAGGAAGCGAGAATACGTATAAAGAGATCTAAAGAGTACGATGCTTTTCTTGTAGAGAGTTGGGAGTATAGAGCCGAGATCGGCGGGTAGATCACTTGATGCATCCCCAAGCTCAACTTTCCACCTTTCTAGAATGACTCTACTATATCTAGTATCCTGAGACCCCTTGTAAGAAAACGAGGCATCAAGAGCTTCGAGAACATCCCAGCGTTTCCCATGGCCATCAAGAATCACCAGGCTCTGGTTGTGTGTCAACTCATCCGGATCAAGGTAGGTCTCAATAACCATCGGTGGAGGGCGACGGTCGGTGGTGTCACAGGACTTCCACGTCCGTAGGTCATCTCGAAGAACATCGGTTTCCTCCAGTTCAACATTAAACTATACCAGCGGAGTCCAATCGTTATTATATTATTTCTAAAGTTAGGAAATATAGGTTTAGAACTAGAAAAACAAAATAAAACAACCACGTACCCATCTATTTACCCTCTTTATATCCGAATCTTTGTTGTACGCGGGGGGAAGATCGACTCGGGAGTGCAGTATGATCAAAGCAGCCTTCGTATGATATTGCTATGATAAGAAAAAAGAAGACAGACTCAGCATTTATACACACATCCATTATGTCAGACATGAAAACTAGTGTAACAACTCACTTGAACGATCTGATTTAACTTGGCGACGATCTCTCTGCCAGGAGCTACATTAGATGGGACCTGCACGAACATTTCAGCTTCATGCTCAATCCCAAGTCCTGCAGTAGTGTTTATGGGACCAACCTCAGCTTGTGATGTATTCGACTCTGCACTTGGACCCAGAGGGTTGTTTGTGCGAGCTGGGTTGGCCCTGGAGGAATTGGCAGACGCCGCCGTAGTCGGCGGAGGACGAGGATGTTGATGCATTTCGTTTTCTTCTCTTTTCTTTTCTTTTTTTTTTTTTTTTTTCAAGGTGACTTCGCAAGAAAGAATTGGGGGTTGGAATGTATGTCGAAGTCCGAAGCTATCTGAGAGGTGAACCGTCAAGGTCCTCAGGGTAGTTCGACTGGGAATCTCGAGACTGGGTATTTTATTGATTCCCGTTGGGCTTGATGGAGGTTTAGGGTTCGCCTGAGGGTTAGGAAGATGGAGCCGTCGAGATAAGAAGGGAGGTATATATGTGAGGTGAGGAAAAAGCGGACTATTTTCAGGCAGGAGGGAAAAAGGTATCGGGCTTCTGCGTTTGGCAGCTGTCCATGTTAACGATAGTTGACAACATACGCAGGCAACACTAGGTTGATTCGCAGGGGTGTGCTGGAGATAGCTGGTAGCCGGTAGCTAGTAGCTGATCGCTGAATCGAGCGGATAGCCTTGTATGAGGGCACGGCTTAAAGCTAGCTAGTCGGAATTGACAAGGGCGAGAACGCAGCCCGGTGCAGGGAACATTATTGTGATAGCATGGAGGAGCTCAGGAAACAGGCGATCCAGGCAGATATCGGGTGGGTTGGAGCTGTTACAGGGAGTGGAATCAAGGAAAAGGGGAGAACTGGATCTCGAGATATTAAATCGACCCAAGGAGCGGGAAGATGTGCGGTGGATTCCTCCCAATGTGGGGGAATAGCACTTTAGTGGCACATCTTCCGGAGTACTACCACTTGTTCAAAAAAGGGAGGGGAGAAGGAAGACGGCGAGCTGCTAGTAGGAGGAGCGAGGGGTTGTGGCGTGGGAGGGTGGAGGTTGAAGTTGAGGATGAGGTTGAGGATGGGTTGTTTGGGAGGTGAGTGGTAGTAGTAGTAACTAGTAGTAGTAGTGTAGTAGGAGAAAGTTTGGGGGAGACCGAGACGGGGAAGTTTGGAGTGACGCACAACAGCTGACTCGACGGCGCCAACCACAACTGGCACGGTCACAACAAGGGTGGTGTATTTATTCTGCTGCGGAGAGGATGCGGTGCTGCAGACCTGGAGAGTTCTGCCTGGGTCTACTGTCAATCACTCAATCCCCAGAATATTCCAGATACCTATTGTTGATGATGATGTTGTTGTGTTGTTCTTCGTCCTCGTCTTTGCCTTTTTGTTTTGCCAGATGTTTATACCCGCAAGTAGATGCTTTGGCCGTGGTGGTTGTCATCGTATGTTACCGGGTATTGTACCGTGCATTATGGCCCATAATACCACTTGTAATTCATGGCTTTGCGTAGACCGGAGGTATAACCAATAGGATATGCTGACTTGCGGACGGGACAGAGTCTCCGCATATCGGCGAAATACAAGCTCCGTTCGGTATGGTATCATACGGTATGATCAAGTCACTCGCCGATACCAGTCATCTGAGAGTCAAATCACGCAACTAAGCAGGAGATGATGTGGATATATAAAATGCGGCAAAAAAATATATTGCCCCGAAAACACATCAATGCCAGACCAAAAGATAACGAGAACACCCACCCCCCAGAACCTCTCCAATCACCCTCCTCCCGATGGACAAATGAAACAAGCGGCCAGACGACGCTTGGGCAAGGCACACAACACAACGTGTCTATCACTGGCTAAACCGCCAGCAAGAACCCAGACGCCCCAGAACTCCCAAACCAAACCCCCAAAACCACAGACCCCAAGGCTCCAGAACGACTCAGACGAGGCAGAAGCCCAGGCTGCTTGACCGCAACTGGCTGCCTCACCCGTTGCCCATACCATACCATACCATACCATACCATAGTTACATGTACATGTACCTTGTTGTGCTGACTGCAACCTTCAAAACCCGCTTTCTCTCATGCGTTCAAACGTAGCTTCGGCTAGCCGAACGAGAACAACGGCTTGCCACTCATTTTGCATTAGCCATTTCACCCTCTTCTCTACTCAATCAACTCATGGGCTTTCAACTACAGAGCGTGGGGTGGATGGATGGGACCTCCCCTCCATCTTCAAGGGGAGCCGTGGCTTACCACTAACTCCAGTCAAAGAAGAAACTCAGAAGAGTCGCAAAGAGCGCCTGCAGCTGCAGCTGCAGATCCACGCCCACTCCACACAACAACATCCTAAACTAATAATTCTCCACACAATCCACACTGCAACACCACCTTTCCGCTTGCTACTGGACAGAGCCATCGGAAATCTCATTCGGGTTCTTGAGTGCTAACTACGCAAAGTACATCTCCTTTAGCTCCATTCGCACTAAAACCCGCGTTAAGACAACGAGAATGCAAGGGGACGCAAGGCATCAAGAGAAGAGATTATTATTGAATGCATCCAGTAACTATATTATTAGCTGACTGCGCTAGGACATTTTTGGCATCGTGGGATTTGAGGGAAGTTTCCCTTATCCTTTTTCTTTCTTTTTTTTTTTCTTTCTTCCTTTTTCTCCGAAAAGCGGTGAACAATGCAGGGGAAATATTTAAAGAAGACATCCTGAAATTTTCCAAAGAGAGAGAGAGAGAGAGAGAGACAGCCCTCCGTAACAAGGAGCAAAAACAAACCCAGTTCTTTGAAAAACCGCCCATGAAGAGTTATCCTGCAGCTTCCAGTCCTGGGCCGAAGACTTGGACATACATAGTTAACTACGGGATAGCTTCCCGGGCGAATCTCATTTCAAAGTCCTCGGATCCATTCATCCATACAGCGCCGAATGAGAAGTGATGCGGCAAAAACAAGAAGAAAATGGTATCTCGTTGCCCTCTTTTATAGGAACCCGTGGTTTGTTATTTATATTATTATCATACAGAGCTCCCCATAGTTAACTAGTTATCCCGCGGGAGGTTTACGTATGTCGGATATCCCGACCGTCACTACCCAGATAAATAAGGCCACCCAAAGCCAGTCAAATGATGAGAGAGTCATGTAGTTATGGAGTCAAATGGAACGGATTACTGCATAAACAACATGTCGTGACACGCGGTAGAGTGATGTGCTGTTAAAACCCATGTAACGAGGTATAATATAGCCCCTTTTTCCCAGGAAGCTGGGAGGGATCGAGGGCGAGCTTGTTGTTTTTGTTTTCGGCTTTGATTCCAAGCAGAAGTAAAATGTTGTCTGTCCACACCGGCTGGCTCCGTTGGGGGTATTATTATTATTATTTTTTTTTTTCTCCGAGAGATGATGAGAAACGTGACGAGAAGCCTTCGTGATTGGACTCGACTGACCTGGGCTGGCCTCGTGAGTTTTGTATTTTGTAGGTTTGACCAACCATGCAGCAACCGGGAAGAGGAGAGAAGAATCATGGCTCCGACTCCGGCTCCGAGCTAGCTTGCTTTCGTGCTGGCGCAGTGTCATCGTTTGTGAGTTTGTGAGTCAAGGCACAGCGACAGCCGTTGGATTGGCTGCAGAGTTGAGTGTTCCTTTGCCGATTGTTGGCGGTTTCAGAAAGGCGCTTCTGCAGCAACTTCGACTGTTGAACTCACCGCCGAGCCAACTAGTCGCTTATTAGTTAATTAGTAAGTTACTACTACTGGAATCACTACCTACAGGTTCGGTTCGCAATATCCATGGCAAGCCAAGCGCTAGGGCGGAGCTCTTCTCTCCCTCTTTCTATCTATCTTTCTTTTTCTTTGTCTTTTTTATTTTCCCGCTTCCTTGTCCAGGCAGTGCTATTTTCCGATTCGATTCTGTTTCCGTGGTTTTCGAAGTGTTCGGCTTGATACATACTTATACAGTAGTTACTCCGTACATGTGTGCTTGATTTGAGCCTCCCGACTCCCGAGACACAGCAGCCAACCAACCACAGCAGCACACTAGCACAATTGAACGGTCAGCAAATATGACAGATAACAATCTGGCAAGCTGCAGAGAGCCCCCCCCCCCCTACCACTCAACAGCTTCCTCGCCAGGCTAGGCTGCTCCTCTTCTTTCTTGGCTCTTGGCTATCATTATTCTATTCACATGGGTGCCTGGGATTCTGGTCTATTCTTAGGATATGGGAGGGTAGGGAACAAGCAATGAAGTTTGTGTTGGCATGACACGTTCTCTCTCTTGTTGTTGAGTTGTCTCCTTTGAAAAACTAATGATACTCAGTGGCCGAGACGAGAACGGCATCATTCAAAGATGAAAATAGGGATTCTCTGAGTTGTTTTTCTACGATTTGAGTATCATTCATGCGGACATACCCGGGTTCTGATGTTGGTCTGTACTGAGGATTCTATCGTTGCAGGTGGTCAATTGAGATTCATCCCAAGGAGAAGTGGAAGACCAAAGCGCCCATTGCCCACTGCGAAGCAAGGTTGAATGAGAAGACAAGAGGTCAATGGGACGGATATGAAAAGGGGACATTCCGGGCCAAAGTAAAAGCTGAAACCGATATGCTCAGGCCTAGAATCAATGATGTCTTCGAGAGGGACATCTGCCTCAATACAAGTTATACTAACATATCCTCGCTCTGAACAGACAGAGTCTTCCTCAAAGGCCCTTTAGAATAAATTTGAAATTTCACTTAAAGCATAGTCAAGAAAAAGGTAGCTGTATCAGGTTCATGGCAATCTAGGCATACATACATATGTACATGTACATGTACCTACATGTAATGTACCTCCGTCGCCGCATCATCGATGTATGAGAGGGCGGGCAGGTTAAACACCTCTCCAAACAAGAATTCCACAGTACCCCGCCATCCATTTCTACATATTTAATCCCGTCATAGAGTCGTCCATGGGTATTCTTATCCCTGGATCTAAATACAGTTGTATAGTTCTCGACCTCTCGCTGTGCCTCATGGATGGGTTTGTGGGCTGTGATTGGTTCCGGCGGGGAACTCCCATCAAGGAGCGATGAATTGTCAGCAAAGTATTATTAGACCAACGCGACCAAACAGCTACAACCCTCCCTCATCTGTCCGCACTCCTCCCCGTCTCCCTTCTCCTCCACCGCCGATAACGACGATATACAGGAATACAACATCTGATTGACAGTCGCAGTTATCCTCTACGTTGACATACTCCCTGTTCCCCTGTTCCTCCTCGGCAAATATTGAGTGCTACAGGCGAAATACAACGATTCGTCAGCGACTCATCGCATATAGAGACAGACCCCGATTCCCACTTTCGCCGCTTCATATCTATCCTCGCTCCAGACATCAGTATTGGTCAAGTCGCTCAATTGAATCGCTCAATATCCACAGACGAGTGCGCCCATTTGTTAAACAACTGACACTCGACCTCTCCTCACCCTCCCCCCCGCTCCCACACTCCGTCAGCAAGAAGGAAAAAAAAAAAAAAAAGAAGAAAGATTCAAAAGCCAATCCCGCGATCCGTCGAGGCGACAGCGCGGTTTAAACCCTTCTCGGGGGATTCAATAACTGGGGGGTCCTCTATCCGGGATCCTGCCACCGCCCCACACAAAGGCACATGAGTAGCAAACTCTGGCAGTATTTTCTTCAAGATGATGCCCAAAGCTTCAGACGGTTTCTGGCAGACGCCACCAGCTCCCATACGCAATGGAAAAGCAATGCGCCCACTTTTCCAGGCCATGGAGGCTCCGGGACCGCGCTAGGGACTTCTCCAGGCTCGTTCTTGAAAAGTTCCCGCCCAACTGCGGCGGCGTCGTCGCCGAAGCAGCTGGCAGAGAAACAGCCCTCCTCCTCCTCCTCCTCCACCACCACCACCACCACGCGGAATGTGCCTGTTACACTGACCCGTGCTGATGTTAATACGAAGGATCAGTATGGCCGCACGTTGTTGCACCTTATAGCTTCGTCACAGAAGGAAACTGCGGTTGATTTTGCTACGGCGCTGCTGGAGGTACCCTTCGTCGATATATATGCGCAGGATCTGGAAAGCGGATGGACTGCGCTGCATCGTGCGTTATATGCCGGGAATGTGACCATTGCGCAAGCGCTGCTTGCGAGGGATTTTCACGATGCTACTGATTTTAGGACACCTGGAGGAGTCCCTCATCCATCTGGTGGCCTGATCAAGATAAAAGACCGCGAGGGGAATAGTCCCTTCGACGTCTTTGGAGCCACTATTTTGCCTCGCGATATCAACAAGGCTTCGGGATATGAGTCTTCGCTAGATGGAGATGACTCCGTCTCAACTGATTCTTCAATCTTGTCCGAAGCCGAAGTCGCTCACGAGACGGTCAAAGGCAACATAAAGCCTTTGGTTAACATACTTGGCGATGAGGTATTTACTTTTGGTAGCAACAAAAATCTTAATCTTGGGCTGGGTGATGAGGATGACCGCCAATTCCCGGAACGTATCGGCCTCACTCGCCCAGATCATCTGCTATACAGGTTCAATCGTGAACACGCAGTAATTCGTGCTGCCCGTAGAGGGTCGGATCACGATGTTGAAGAGCCTAATATCGATTCTACCGCCGAGATTCCTACTCTGGTACGATCCCGTCCCATTATCTATCAACAAATTGTAATGTCAAAATTACACACCGGAATCATCACGAACGACCCGGAGTCGAATCTGTTTATGTGCGGGTTTGGCTCTGGGGGAAGGCTGGGAACTGGTGACGAAGGTACTAGGTTTAGCTTTGTTTGTATCGAGGGTGGCGGTCTTGCTGGAAAGAAGGTCGTTTCCTTGGCTTTGGGCCAGGACCATTCCATCGCCATCACGGAACAGGGTGAAGTGTTCAGCTGGGGAAGCAATAAATATGGTCAACTGGGATACGCACTTCCCAAGACCAATCACAAGGACGACGTGCCCATCCAAACCACTCCGCGGCAAATCTTTAACCCTTTCAAGAAAGAAGCTATCATCGGCGCAGCCGCTTCCTCTATCCACTCGGTTGTATTCACACCCACAGGTTTATACACGTTCGGTAAGAATGAAGGTCAATTGGGCTTTATCGATGCTGATGCTCGTTCTCTCGAGACGCAAACGATTCCCCGCAGAGTTGGCGCGTCGCTATTCAGTTCACCCATTTCTATGGTTTCAGCAATCGATCGAGCCACGACCTGTTTGCTCGAAAACCACGAAGTTTGGGTCTTTACCCATTATGGCTATTCTAAAATAGCTTTCCCCCTTGATGGTGCCTCGACCTTCATCCGAGACAGCTTCATGTCAACGAGATACGGCCTGTCAACCAACCACATTTCCAAAATCACATCTGGCGGCAATACGATATGCGCGATGTCCACTTTTGGTGAAGTCTATACCGTTCATGTTAACCGCAAGGCGGATACTAGCTCGACAGCATCATCCACAACCAACCCAGCCAAGATCCGAAATTCGTTGCCCCAGCCGTCTCGCGTGTGGTCTATCAAAAAGTCCCACATGGCTGTCCGGGACGTTGACGTTGGCCAAGATGGATCCATCATCATATGCACCGAGTCCGGCTCTGCCTGGAGAAAAGAAAAACGTGCAAAGATCAACGACGCTGGCCGCCAAACGACAGGAGATGCTCGCTTGAAGGACTACAAATTCGTCCGCATTCCGGGCCTCTCGCGCGTTGTAGCTGTTCGGAGTAATGCTTTCGGGGCATACGCGGTTGCTCAGCGCGGCTGCGACGTGGCTAGGGAGCAAATAATGATTGATGATCGCTCTATATGGGAGGACTTCTGGCCGCTCCTGGCGTTTAAAAGTATATTGAGGGATGGGGATCCTGGTGATTACTCGTCAATGTCGATGGACGTGGTCATAGGGAACACGCCTATCAAGCCCTACGACCTTGAGTCGGAAATCGAATCAACATTGGAAGACGTTTCTCGCCCCGATGACTTTCAACCAATTGTATTGGTGTCGACAACGGCTTCGGATGTACGGATTCCGGTCCATGGGTTTATTCTGGCTGGCCGTAGCCCCGTTTTGAGAAGGGCTTTGGCTGAATTCCATAAGTCGTATTATTATTCCGTTCCAGACGTGTTCGGCGTCGAGTACGATAAGAACGGCCAGGTTTCGATCAAGTTTAGTGACGTCGACTTCCTGTCCATATTTAACCTGGTGCTGTATATGTATGCAGACCAGCTCTACGATGTATGGACTCTGGCTCGACACTCGCCCAAACATGCGACGCAGTACAAACGGGTTCGAATCGAGGTTCTCAAACTAGCAACGGCGCTTGAACTTCGTGATCTTGAGCGTGCGGTAAGATTAATGACCCTGCCTCACAAGCGTTTGCACCTGGACATGGAACGGGCGTACGAGGATCCCAACTTCTTTGGAAGTAGCGATGTGGTAATTGAACTTGACGGTGGCGATGTAAACGCTCACAGCCAAATTTTATGCGCCCGCTGCCCTTTTTTCAGTGGGTTGTTCTACGGGAGAGCTGGTGGTCGTTGGCTCACTCGAAGACGTGGTGGTTCCCCGGATTCTGGTGTCGATCCTCTTCGCATCGATTTGAAGCACATCCGTCGCGACATTTTCGAGTTTGTATTGCGTCATATATATGCGGATACGGATGATGAACTTTTTGAAGACGTGAAGTTCGATGAATTGGAGGATCTGATTGACCTAGTCATTGATGTTATGGCTGTTGCGAACGAGTTGATGTTGGATAGACTGGCACAGATTTGCCAGAAGCTACTGGGACGGTTTGGTATGGCACTTTCCTTGGGATTTGATGAGGAACAACCCAATAGGCTAATTCCGTGTAGTTAATAATCGGAATGTGTGCCATTTTCTAAATGCTGTTGCACCGTGTTCGGTGACCGCGTTCAAGCAGGCCGCGCTCGAGTACATCTGTCTAAATCTTGAAGCTATGTTGGAAAATAGGTATGCAATGCTTTCACTCATATTCGGAATTTTTCATGCTGTGGTGGTTATTCCCTAGCTAATTTCTTCGATACAGGCTTCTTGATGACCTAGACGATGATCTATTCTGCGAACTCGACGATGTCTGTCGCGCAAACCAGCTGACATGCCATCCGGTTTCTAGAGGGCGGAATTCAGAAGGCTTCGTCGCAGAGAGATATCCGGAAATTGTTCCCCTCCTAGAACGTGATAGACAGCGCCGGATAGACTCAATGAGGCTTCGCTCACGCTTACATGAAGATGAGTTGCGGCAGAATAAATTCCGCACGGGCGCCACTGATAAAGAGAAGGCGGGTGTTATGTCTCCCCTTCACCTCAAAAGTCGGCTGTCTGAGCCTATTCTCAGGGCGGCGGAGTTGGCTGGGGAAACAAGTCCTGCCTTGAAGCCGAAACAGTCAATGGGTGACTTGATTTTCCATATGGAAGATGATCACCTCCTTCCTTCTGGTCAAGCTGGGGGCAAACAGATAGCTGGGCTTGGTATTTCCAAGCAATCTCAGAACCAGGTTGATTCAGTAGATGTCAGGGGACGGTGTTTGCAGGTGGAGGGGAAACAGCAAAACGCGGGATCAAAAGCTCGCGTTGAGTTGTCTACCACTCCTCTGGCCAAATCCCACGAACGAGAGCACGCTGGTGCTCCATGGAGTTCTGTTGGGCCTTCCAATACTAAAACAGGTCTAAAGGATATCATGGCGGAAACTTTAGGGTCTCATCCATCCAGCACAGGCTTAAACATGTCGCCCCGCAGGGATACACCAGCAACCAAACTTACGCCGTCAAAACTCTCGCAGAAAGAGCGTAAAAAGCTTCAGCAACAGAAAGCCCGGGAACTAACAGAACAGCAAGAGGCATCTAAATCAAAATCAGCATCGCCGTGGCAGAACGTCGCCAGTAAACCATTTCCAATACATGCAACTGCGCGAGCGGAAGCTCAGTCGGCAAGGGATGTCTCGACGCCTGTTCGCACCGCATCTAAGGCGCCCATGACATTGCGCCAAACTGTCGCCGGTGTGCCTTCACCGCAAAATCACACTCCTACTTCCAAGCCCACGCCCAACCCCGCTCAACAGAAGCAACAACACGCACAAGAAGCCCGAATACCACCTTCCACACCAAATGCATCCCCGCTACCTATCATGAAGGCGGATTCATTCGCACGACAGACCCAATCGGCCACTCCAACGACAACAACTCCAATTCAGCCGAACTCACGGTCCCAGCCATACGCTACCATCCCCCGTATCAAATCCGACCCTCAGCAACAACAGCAATTGTACAACTACTCCAGCCCCTCGCCTTCCTCCACCCAGTTCTCCCTAGCCTACATCCTCGAACAGCAGCAGATCGAGAAGGACGTGATCCGCGAAGCGGCCACCGCCAAGCATAAGTTGCAGGACATCCAGCTCGAGCAGGAGTTTCAGGAATGGTGGGATCAGGAGAGTAGGAGGGTGAGGGAGGAGGCGGAGAAGGCGGAGGCTGCGGCTGCAGCTGCGGCTGCGGCCAGAAGACCTGGAGTGGGAGCGGGAGCGGGGAGGGGGAAAGTGAATAGAGGGAGAGGTGGATCTGCACATGGGCCTGCGACAACCAGTGGCCAGGGTCCCGCTGATCGGGGACGAAGGCGTGGCGGTGGGGGTGCTGTGGGGAATATTTCCAACGTTATAGCGGCGACGGCTAACGGCGAAGGGAACGCTACTTCTCAACTGCAACCGCTGCATGCTGCTATGGATGGAAATAAACGGAGGGTTGTTTCGGATCGAGGGAGGGGAGGGGGTCGTGGACAACATAGCCATGGCCAATCGCGGGGGAGAGGAGCGGCGGGAGGAGGAGGAGGAGGAGGAGGTGGTGGTATTGGGCTCCGTGGGAAAGGGAAGGAGAGAGCAGTGTCAACGTCGTAAATATTCTTAAGGAGACTTTTGCTTTTTTCATTTTTATTCCTCGATGTTTGTTTTCGTTAACCTCGCTTCAATTCTTGGTGTGTGTCTTGTTGTGTATAGTATATTTTTTCACCCTTTAACAATTTTCCTTCATGTATATATTCTTACTGCGGATCATCTTTAACTATATATAGAGAGCTTGCTTGCGAAAGGAGACACGGGAAAAAAGTTATATTGCTAATTGATTCTTTAGTAGCGAAGGTATATCATCACATTTATAGATAAAAGGGAATATCCTCGAATGTATCCGGATGCATTAAATGAACATCTTGTCTTGTTTAGTTGCCTTATCGCTTGCATTTGAATATGTAAGATCAGATAGTTACACTTAACAAGTCCCCTTCAACGCAGATAAATCGAAAATACTTAATGCATATACACCACAAATATGGACCACGTAATAAATATCAGATGATTACAATATGAGAATATATCCACCTACACATGCCTAGGTAGCAGCCAATCCGCATAACGATCACGAAGAAAGCGGAACGGTTATAGTAAACCTTGAGCAATCAGCAATCTCCACCCCACCCAACAGCCTGGTTATACTCCCTCCCTACCTCCGCCACCCCCCTCACCACTCCCACCAAAGAATCTGTCCAACTCCCCTGGCCCCTCTGCATCCTCTCCCTCCTCTCCCTCTCCGACTCCGACTCCGTACTCCCAACTTCACCACGGGCCACTCTCTCCGCCTCATACACAGCCCCCTGTGCCTCCTCGAGCCCTACCATCTCGCCATCCTTCGCCCGCGCCAGCACCGATCGCTTAATAACCGGCGTGAAAACATTTAACCACATCGCCTCGCTAAGGCCGCACGCGTGTTGCTCGTTGTACCAGGCGTACCAGGTGGCCGTGACGGGTTCGTAGCGCTTCTCCAGCAGTATGAGGAGGGGCCAGGTGAGGATCCAGAGTTGGAGGATGATGCAAGCCCACCAGACGAAGGTGTTTATACGCAGTTTGTTGATGAGGGAGGGGGAGTAGACGGTTAAGTGGGCGTTGTGGGTGTGGAGTTCTATGGAGATGCGGCCGCGGTAGTTGAGGGAGCGGATTAGGGTTGTGATGCCTTTTTGGATGGCGGTGTAGTTCCAGGCTTCGAAGGTGCGGTGGAAGGTGAAGCTGGAAAGGGAGGAGAGGGTTGTTTTAGTTTTTGGGGCATTATGTATATCGCCACTCTGTATACCCCCGTAGCCTCTGTGTGCACGTATCTCCCATGCAATTGAAGAGAAAATAAGGGGCAGTGAAAACTCACGACTTAACACCCGACTTATCCTCGCAGAACCGCCTGCACCACTCCTTCAGATCGGGTCCGCCACTGTCGGCCGTCAACCCCTGAGCCTCCTCAAGATCCGGACCTGGATTGGCACCGGAACTCCCTCTCTTCTTATTAGCACCCTTACTTTTAAACCTCCCGCCCCTATAGGCCTTTCTCCCATCCTGATCCTGAACAATCTCCACAAACCGAGACCGATTCCCGGAGGTAAAAACATCCGGCAGGACAGAATTGATACAGTTTATGCGAAAATCGAAATCCACAACCGTCTCCTTATTGGATCCCCCTTTATTCGACCCTGAATTTTTCCTCGTCACCGTATGCGTGCCCTTGACAACGATCACGGGCATGGGCGGGCGTTGGACCTGACATTTAACCAGCGTACTAAGTGCTTCGGGGTCCTGAGAGAGTTCTGGTGCCAGAGTCACCGTGTAGGTCTTCTTGGCGCGTGAAGAGGATATTACTCGCCCGCCCGGGATATCGTAATAGCTCACTAGGCGGGTTACCGAGGAGAGATCGTTGGGTCCTGTGATGATAGAGACAGGCTGAACGACGGCTGCAGCGTCTTCTTCCATGTAGGCTGGGGGGCTATCTTCCGGCTCCAAGTCCTGATATGGCTGGAGAGAGTGAGCGGAAGCAGAAGAGGGGAGGGGCGCATCGTCCCTGTAAGGGCGTGTGGCATTCGGAAGACCCATGCCTCTACGGAGTAGAGAGAAAGGGAAATAAAATTGAATGGGTATCTTGAGAGATGAGAGCAGGGCCGATGCTACAAAATCAGCGGGACTGCAGGGCAAGTAAATGGTTTGCGCAGAAAAATGTTGCAAGCCGTTTCCCCCGCCAAAGCAACGACTGCAATAAAACTGTACGAGTCCTGGTCAGCAATTGTAAAGCAGTTTCCCGAGCCAGAAAACTTTTGTTAAGCATATTATCAGTACATACATCACAACAGGGCGGCCGCAAGATGTCGTAGAAAACGCGACGCTGGCTTTTATACCAAGGGGGGCATGGTGCTAGGGCCCCCCTCGCGCCCCAGAAACATCGCATGCGTCAAGTCTAGATTCATGTATCCACTGTCTTTGCGCCTCCGACGCCGCGACGAAAGAGGATCACCTCTGGGCGCGAAAAAGCCGGTTCATTCGCTGCAGATCAGGCAGCAGAGCCTCCAAACCAGCGCTAGCCAGCGTAACCTAAACGTCCGGCTCATCCTTCTGAGACCGACCCCGTCTACCAAAGCGAGATGAACTTGCGCTCAGGGGCTCGGGGCTTGCTTTTGCCGATGCGACGCCACCAGCGAATTTGCTTGCAGGGTGCAGATGTTCCAATGTTGAACGGATAAACGAATGGAGACGTAAGTACGGTAACTAACGGAGTATAAACAACCTCGATTTGGGACTTCGAGATAAATGATGATTCGTATTATCTTTACTTGTAGACATGCATTCACGTAGGGATATGGATGTATAAAATGAACATAGGCAATAGTTCCCTTGAAGAGGGTTTCTCTTAAAATTCATAGATCCGGTCAGGATAATCGTGTGAACAATGCTCCGTACCTTGATTCTTGACATTTTCTGGGGGTTAAGCGTGTATAAAATGAAATCCCCGTTTACAGTCCACCTGGTAGAATCATCCTATTAAGAACTGCTCAACTGCCTCTAATTAACTATCGAACATCTAAATAAAAATGCTTAAGCAAGATGAAGCAGAGAATAATAAAAAGATCAACGCACATGGCGCAGTAGGGTAAAAAAAATACCGCTGATGTGAGAAATGCCAGTAATTGAGAAAAAAAAAAAAAAAAAAAAAAAAAAAAAAGAAAGAAAGAAAGAAATTGAATTAAATAAATAAATGAAATAAAGTACATGGTGAAACCGGAGGTACGCTTTCCGTGATGCGATATGAATCTTCCATGCCAATCAAGATATAACAGAGAATACAAAAAAAATGCACTAAACAAAATAATCGTATCGTCAACGGAAAGAGGATATGGTATGGTGATGATTGTTGTACAGATAATGGCCATTATGGCCTCATGCTTTGTACAGCATACAAATCGTCAGTGAGGAGTAAAAAGTAAGATCACGAGAGAGAAGGTACATGTATATAAACTAAAACTCGTCGAGCCCATCAAAATAATCAATCACCCGCAACAGCTACTTCGCGGCTGTCCCATATCCGCCTAATCATGAGCTCCGCTTCGTTGGGTTGATATGGGGTATGCGCACCACCACCACCGCCATCTGAATCATCTATCTGTTCGTCATACACATTTCCATCAGCAAAAACAACCGCAACCGAATTAGGCCGTTGTTGCTGCTGATGTTCCACATCCAATCGCTCAGCTGGCTCGTCGGAATAGTTGACGTGGACTGTATCTTCAGAAGTCCTGAATCGGACCTGGCTGGACGACTTGGGTAGCTTGGTTAAGAACTGGTGGTTGACGGCGGGATCGGAATCGAGATTCCGCGATGAAGGTGGGCGGGAAAGGGCGCCATTAGAGATGACGGGATTTTGTCCGCCTGCCTGGCTTTGAGGGGCATTGTTGGATTTCGCTTCTGGTCCTGCAATTTTGTCGAGCCTGAGCAGACTTTCTGCGATAGGCGATCTGAAACGACGGACTACTGAGTACTCTGTTGTGGATTTATCGTAGATCTTGCGGGCACGTTTAGCTTCGCTCTCAGGATTTACGCCTGCTGTTCCACCTATTCCTAGCAATGCCCTGCGGCCGTCTCTTGCGTGGTCTCTAGAACCTGGCCGAGACTGAGCAGCCGTCATGAAGACGGGCTCCATCGAAGATGGGGGTACTGTCGGAGGCGGTCCCGACATAGAAGGGTCAGGTGGGGAGGTTGTAAGAACTGCTGTTCGCTGTAGCCATAACTTTTGCTGTGTACGTGATGGAGGCTCTTGTTGGCGGCCGCGAGAGGTAGGGCGTTTCGCACTGTACGTCTCCGGAGACGGCGGTGTATTAGGGTTGTAGTGTGGTAGGAATGATGACGGGGGTTCAGAATCAGTGAAGGCTCCAGATTGTGAACCGGGGTTGTTTATTAGGAATCTGGATACGCCTCCTTCCATAGAGGACGATGTTCCATGTGGATTGCTTATTGAGGAACTCCCCACAGTAGACCATTGGCCAGCTTGATCGGAATCGCGGACACGGCCCGAAGGAAGGGTTGGAAAGGACGGAGGGCGCGGGCTTCGTTCCACAGCTGCTGGCGTTGCAGTTACTGAGACGGATGATATGGCGGGTGGAGCTTTGGATGCGTGTGGTTGGTGAAGAAGACGAGAAGCAATATCGTCCTGCTCAAAGGGGCGCGTATGTTGTCCTTGGGAAGCTCCAGTGCCAGAGCCATTAGCGAGTTCCGTAGCCTGCTGTTTGGTCTCGCCTTCAAGGCCACTGCTTGCTTGGGCTAAAGGCGACTTTGTCGCCAGGAGAGTAGAATGAGGGCTACTGTCCGCGCTCATTTTGGCAGTAACCACGGAATTCCGTCTAGTGCTTTCTGGAGAATAAGAACTGTTATTGTCTTCCCACTCGTCGTCGTCGTCCGAAGCAACAAGCTCGAAACCCACTGTCTTTTTCTGCCCTGCTCTAGCAACTGTTACAGTTTTGTTCATCGTAGACGGTTTCTTAGCGAGAATCCCGGACGTGTTTCTCAATACGGGCGTGGATAGGTTTTTCCTTATCGCCGGATTTACCCCTTGGCCAGTCAGCGAAACGCTTGAGCCATTCCAACGAACGTGATGATGGCCGACGCGAGGACTCGTTGCGGGGGATACAGGCGCAGATTTTTTGCGTTGGTGTCGAAGCGCAGGTGCAACAAGCGTGTCACCTTCTCCTAGGAGGTTGTGAAGCGCAGCAAGCCTCTGCAGCCTATTTATGTTCTTTAGCGACGGGTTGCGCACATGCTGTCGGTGCGAAGCAACCACATGGGGCCGATGGGGTTTGTGGGTTGATGTCTTGTTGTGCGAAAGCGTCGGGCCTGCTTCAGTGGGAGGCGATTGGGGAGGTAGTGAAGAATCCGACGCCGCTTGCTGCGAGGCTGAACGTTTGGTCGGGGAAGACGTGGTGTGTGACGGCATTTTTGGCGACTAGGAGAGCGAATCAGCAGCGGTTATTTCGCTGCAACAAAGCACCCGTTCTATTTCTCTCGAAGCCTACAGGTGTCATGAATATCGCCACCAGCAACAATTTTGATGGTACTGGCTGCAGGAGACTGCGACACGATTTGGAGGGAGCTGGAGAGGAGCAATCAAATGATCAGTTCGCGATAGATCAGGGCTTGATTGGTATTTAGGCGACTATCCCGTTGGTGAGCGCAGTTGAAGCTCCAATCTGCGCACATGGTCTGCCTAGTTAGCGGTTACAACCAGGACACGATGCCGGGTTGAACTGCGAGGGGAAGACAGTGAAACTCACCAGGCTGAGACGAAGGTACGGGATACGAAACTTGCGACGGATAAGCAATGGGGGTCAAGAGCCGCCGATGATGACAGAGAGCCCGATACAGAAGTCGGTGAGGTCACGTGGGGTGCGGCGAAACCTTGGAATCAACGGGATGTATCCAGGTTTGGGGAGAGAATAGGCCTAAGCCCAGTTAAACACTACTCGGAAATTTAGTTAAACCTTAGTTAAAGGCTACCTAGTGTGGTAAGGGCGCCTAAGATTATCTACCATTTTCCAAGATGCACATTCAAGAAACTATGAGCGTTGTTTTACCCTTTTAAACCGATGGGTCGGACTAGGTAATAGGGCTACTAAGGTTCTTCTATGTCCATCAACACACTGTAGATAATTTCCCACACAGACAGACCGTAACAAAAAGAAATCTTGGAAGAGAAGTCATGGACATAAAAAGAAGATAACAACAGGGATAGAGACACAGTTTTGAAAAAACACATTAATTATCGTTCGTTAAGAGGACTCATCACGTCACATTCAGTTAACCAAGCGTAGTGGGCAGTTAGAGGAGGGGCGGAAAAACCACATCGGGTATCAAAAATGGGGGCCAACATGCATGCGTGTGTGAGTAAAAAAATACAACCGTCGCCAGGAGCGCACCAGGAGCCAGACAAGGAGGAAATAGTTTCATATGTCGATTAAAGGGGTTTCTTTAACCGGCTGCGAAGTTGCTTGTTGCTGTTGGTCGGGTAGATACGATTGCTCCAAGGTCGGCGCCATGGGCACAAAATTTGGATACATGGGGTTTCCAGCCGGTGGCATGTATTGGGGATTCGTTCCTGACTCTGGTTGCTGCCAAGAATTGTAATGGTTGGAAGGCTGCGCTGGGTCTGGTGGTAGAGGGCTGGGGGTTTCTTGGGCTTGTGTCTGGGCCTGGAAATGGCCCAACGGGGGGCCTTCTTGGGTGTTATAGGTTGAATGTTGCGACTGAGAAGGCTGAGCCGCATCCGGGGAGGAAAAGTGGACAGGTTGGGAGTGATTCGACTGTGGAGTTGGTTGGGCAGTTTGGAACTGAGAGTCTCTTCGCATCGTCGGCGACGGAGGATATGATGGTTCAGGTGCAGGAGCATACTGTCCTGTACCGACGTGAGGGTCATGACCCACTGGGCTGGTCACTCCCTGAGGGAGGTAGTAACCAGCTGGCCCACTTTGACCAGTCTGCTCAGCTTGTCCGGGTTGTGCAGGTTGTCCTTGAGGCACTGAATGTGGATGGTACTGAACAGAAGTATGGGCAGCTTGCGGTGGTGTGCGTGGTTGGTAATGACTTTGCCCGTTGTTAAATTGAGGATGTTGCGAGTGAACCACACCCGGGCGCTGCTCGTTGCTGCGTCCGACAGACGCGTGGCGCTCCGCTTGGAGATATTGGCTAGGAGGCATGGCATTCTCCACGGGCTCTGAGCCAAAATAGAAGTTCTCTACACCCCCCCTAGGTAGGTTTATCGGGACGGATGGATAAACATTCGAAGCAAGCTGGCTGGGTGGTAGATAGTTGTAGGTACCAAGAGTGTGCTGCGCGTATGTGTTGGAGAGGCGTTCTTCAAGCATACGATCGTAGTAGCGGACGACTGTCGATAACTTGGCATGAAGGTCGAGAAGGGTGTCTGAGGATGATTAGCCATGGACCGGAACAGCGGGACTTTGCACATAGAACATACCATGTTTACTCATTGTTTCGCCATAGGTACGAGCTAGTTTAGGCCTTAGAGCCCCTATACTCTCGTATAGTTCTTGGATTTGTGGTTCCCGAAGGATCGTGCCTGGAGGCTGATGTTGTAACCTGTCTACAAGTGTTGCAAACAAATTAATATTTTCCGCTTCGACCGCGCTAAGCTCGTAGTCTTTCTTCGGCAAGACGGCCGCAGACACCGCAGGGGCTGCAGAAGAATTTTCGGCAGTCGTACTTTTCAAAGCCGCCGAGTGCTTCTGTTTCTGCTCTTCCATATCTTTCAACGAAGCCTGGATGGCAGCTCGCAAATCGGGATCGTCATCTTCCATGGAATCCTTAGCCAACCCGTTTGCTTCAGGCTGCTTTGGTTCAGGGTTCTTTAATTCAGGTGCAGCCGATTTGGCCTGTGGGACATAGCCAGCGCCACTATGCGCTTTTACCTCTTCAAGACTCATTTGGAGTGCACGCTTGAGATCCTCATCGAAGTCCGACTCGGCTCTTCCACCACGCGGTTCCATCGGCGCTATGGTAGGTTTGGAAGTAGACGTAGGTTTGAGTCCTGATCGATTTGATGAACTCACAGGATTGAAAGATTTCGATGTTAGCTTAGCGTAGCAACCGTCATCGACTCTTACAGCTTGCATAATTCCCAGGTGAGGAAGTGGAAGGGTTTTGCTAGAGCATTGTGCATCAAAAACGCTCCCGCAGTTCCGGCAGTGATGTTTCCGGTTAGTGAATGTAAAAGCAGTTCGGCAGCGCATACAAACGTCCGAATCTATCCATTCGGGAGGCTTTGGGTTGGTTAGAAGACATGTCCCCTTCTAGTCAGAATTGCTCTCAGTCGATTTACTTACAGCGCTACTATCAAGCATGCTACTTGCCATCTCCGTCTTAGGCGGAAACTGATAACCTTCTTTTTGCAAACCCCGGTAGGTTTCACCAATGTACGGAAAATCGCCACGGGCTTGCGTAGCCACTGCCCACGTTTGAATCAGTTCTAGTACCTTAGTCCTTACTTCTTCGTTAAGAGTTGCGGGCCCGGAAGCTCTGAGCAGCGAGACTAGGTTATCCATGAACTCCCGCGAAGCGATCTCCGCGAGGAAGTGGTTACCGCCATTTTTGACACATGTATCCGTCAACTAGATATGGATTGGTCACAGTAAGCAAACGAAGACAGAGACCCAAGCCAGAGGGGAGAAGTCTAATCGAACCTTTAAAGTCGCTAGCTGGATATTCGGATTCCTGCTCTCTAACCTCCTTTTGAGCGATCGCATAGCATCCCTAGGCTGTACACTCTTTGATCGGATCACATCTGAAATCTCCAGGTTCGCCGCAATATCCTCTCTTCGCTAAGTTAGATAAACGTTCAGTAACATGGTAGCTGCCGATGGGGGCAACATACAAGGACGACGAGGTCGCCTTCTCCACCTGCTCATCAAACGAAGAAGTAGAGGAAAACCAGCCCGCCATAATAACCGATAATCTGTGAATCGAGGTTTCAAGGTCTTTCGTTGCGCAGCAGGTCGACAGAAGCTATGGCGATACGTGTGTAAGTTGATAGCTCGAAGAATAGACAGGGAGGTTGCGGGGATGATGACGGAAGAAGGCGAACTGAGCGTGAGGTTGAGTCGGGATATTTGTTCACACAAGTAACAACAAGTTAAGGTAGAAGGTGCTAGAAAGAATAACATAAATATCAACAGGGAGGAGATTCTGGGAAGTGAGGTTGTCGGTATGGTTTGAGGTTTGAGGTTTCATGAAGAAGTTGATGTGGAAGCTGCTTGCGGTGGTTCCGTTATTTACGGCGCTGCCTTGGTTGGGTCTGGGGGAGCTTCTCGTCATACGGAAGAATACCTACCTGTAAATGCGGTACGATTGTTACGATCTGATCACGTGCCTCACAGAGATGTAACTAGTGGTTACAACAATACCTACCTAACCGGGTGTCATCTTAAACCGCCATACGGCGCAATACGTTTTTAAAATACCGCCCTGCGCCTTCACAAGAGCCGCGTATGCCAAAGACTTCGACGTGGTGTAAATATATTTTTTGCCCGCATCAGGACAACCTATTTCGCAAGCTACAGCTATTCAGTCCTTTCGATCTCTCTCGACCCCTTATACCCGTCGCTTGGGCATCTGCCGTCACCCTCTTTTCAATTCTTTTGCTCTGCTGTTGCGGGGCGTAAGCTGGCCGCTCGAACTACATCGAATATCACACTCCCCTCCTCCACCGAAGAATGCGAGTCTGCTACACTTATACACCGATATAGTGATATACCTGATGAAGTGGGATTCCCTTCTTATTGGGGCTTCTGCTAGGAAACGCGCTCTCGATCTTCTCTAGGAGCGGAGGCGTAATGCGGGGTCAGAACAACTTCTCCAGAGGGGACCCATTCCCAAATACGGGGGGATCTTCTAGCTCTGTCCCGCATCGTCATTCGAATTCTACTACAGAGGGACTTGAAGATATGGCTGCATCCATGAATATTGACCCAGGGGCATCCGTAAGTGCAGTTTACGGACCGGATGAAATATGAATCCGGATGTTTAACTCCCACTGACATGCTATCTTTTTTACCTTAGTTGAATGAGCTGCTCCGTACCTCAGAAGATTATATCCAGAGTTCAAAATTATCTCTAGCAAACGGGCAGCTGGATGTGGCATTCAACGACTATCTCCGAGCTTCAGAAATCACAGTCAACGCCATTCCCAACCATCCAGACTATGACTATATGAGACGCCAACATCCAGGGTGGAATGACAGGTTTATAAAATTACTGGCAGTAAGTTTCAGGAGAGGAACGGTGCTCTTGTACCAGGATGGAATGAAGTATACTAATATCTCTAGGTTATTCGATCGCAAGACGGGACTATGACGAGTGTGAAGCAGTCGATCGACCAAAGCAGAAAGTCCCCCAACGGCCATCAAACAACCTCCCCCCCCCCGCCGATGCTCCCTCGGATTCCCCCTGCCGATGCAGATTCTGTTGCTAGTTCATCTCTCTCTGTGCATCGTCTCAGTCAAATCCCAAATGAACCTCCACTTCGCATGCCCAGCCCTACCAGTTTCCAGTCGAAGCGGCCCGCATCTGTCACCCCAGAAAGCCTAACTATCGGTCAGCCAGGCGCCGAATCGAGACCGAGATCGGAGATATTTCCTCGCAAACCGGTCAGTTCAGAGCCCAGTGCCTCAGATACTCTCACCCAAAGGTTTGCAGAATTGAGAAGGTCTCGCGAACCTGGAATTTCAAATACGGTCGAGCGGAACGGCGCTCCCCAAGGCAGCACATCCTCCCAATCATCTCCAGAAGAACGGCCAGTGTCAAGAAGCAGCGCATTAAAACACCCCAGCTCAAAACCTTTTGGACCCCGTGATATGAGTTTATCGCAAAGACCACCTGCTGTGCCACCTAAAGTTCCTTTAACTACAACAAACCCTTCGCTTCCTCGTTACCCGAGTCCAGCGTATAGTCCAGTATGGACAGTCCCGTCACAACCACCGTTAAACCCACCCAGAACGTCAACTGATACTGCTCGCCCGGGTCTATCTCGCCAGGTATCGTCTTTTAATGGCGCGCCGAATGACAATCTAAACGGATATAGCAACGGTGACCCCCCATCTCGATCCCTGACCCCAAATAGCGTTTACTCGAGGGGGGATGCACCTAGCAGCTCTGCAAACATTCCTCTGCAACCAACTATACACCCAGATAGGTTATACGGCTATCTTCAGAAATACGAAGTATTACTCATTGATGTCCGTCCCCGAGACAGGTTTGACACCGGCCATATTTACTCCAAGTCAATTATATGCATAGAACCCGTTGCGCTGAAAGAGAATGTGTCAGCCGAAGAGCTTGAGGACCGGCTGGTTCTCTCTCCAGAGGTTGAACAATCTCATTTCAGCAGACGGAATGAGTTCGATTTGGTTGTCTACTATGATCAGAATACGCGAGAGGCTTCCTACCTTGCTGGGTCTCCGGCAGGTAGCAGCCTACCACATCTACGGGCCCTCTACGACACCTTATACGAATTCAACGCGTATAAACCCCTAAAGGATGGGCGGCAACCGGCTCTTTTGGTTGGTGGCATTGATGCGTGGGTCGATCTTGTTGGTCCTCACGCATTAGCTACTTCTAAAACAGCTGCTGTTATGAGCTCACTCCATGCTCGGAGGCCAGCCCAGGCTGCAGCCAAACCTCTTAGGCGCGTCCCCACTGCTAGCGCCAATTCCAGCTGGGAGGTAAGAAAGCGCAGGTTGCGAGAATATAAACCCCTTAACCCTGAGGAAGAACGTGTCTGGCTCGAGAAAGCTAGAAATGAGGAAATCGATCCCTCTACGTATGTAACAGAGGAGGGAGCTATTACAGAAGAACCTGACAGTTTCGATGAGCAAGAGGCCGCTAGCGCGTTCGTACATGACTATGAAGATTTCTTTAGGAGATTCCCCGAGCCCCATGATATTAGACAATCTATGGTTGGAGCACAGGCACACGCCATCTCACCCCAAATTCCTCTATCTGACCCGTCCCTACCTCCGTCACTTTCTCGTCCTACGCCGGCAGTTCCTCGACCCATTTACAGTGGCGTGGCTGAGGGTAGGAATGTTCAACCTCCTCTTGCCCGGCAATCATCCGCGTCTAAAACAGCGCTGTATGCCGCTAGCTCACCAATTGACCGCATGAAATTGCCACGCACAGGCCTTGTTAATATGGGATCGACATGTTATATGAATTCCATCATCCAGTGTTTGAGCGTTACCGTTCAACTAACCAAGTTTTTCATTGACAACCGATTCCATTCTCAAGTACAGAAAAACTGGAAGGGCTCACAAGGTATCCTGCCTGGTTTATTTGCGAACCTTGTACGGTCTTTATGGAAAAATGATGTCGAAGTTATCCGCCCTACATCGTTTCGAAATTTTATTGGACGGTTGAATCCCGAATGGGCTGGTAGCCGACAACAGGATGCAAAAGAGTTTTTCGATGTGCTTCTCGATTGCTTGCACGAAGATCTCAACTTGAACTGGAACAGGACACCGCTAAGGCCGCTGACAGCTGAGCAAGAAATGCGCCGCGAACAGATGCCAATCGAGCAAGTTTCAACCATTGAATGGAACCGATATTGCCATCGTGAATTCTCTTATATATCCTCATTATTTGCTGGACAGCATGCTAGTCGACTGCGCTGTCGTACATGTCGGCGTACTTCAACAACGTACGAAGCATTCTTCAGCATTAGCGTGGAAATCCCAACATCTCCATCATCGGGTGCAGGGGACCTCTACCAATGCCTCAACAGCTACTGTCAAGAAGAAATGCTTAGTGGCGACGAAGTTTGGAAGTGCCCACACTGTCGCTGCGAACGGGAGGCCACCAAACAGATCATTATCACCAGGGCTCCTCGTTTCCTCGTGATCCATTTTAAGCGCTTTTCTGTCTCCCGCTACCAACAAACACGAAAAATACACACCCCTATCAACTTTCCCATTACCGGCTTAGACATCACGCCCTTTATGGCTCCACCCGTCGGCACCTCAGCCCTCCTCAACGGAGGCGCCGATGGAACCAATAAAAAGTCCCAGCCGGAGCTTGCAACCACCCCTCCCTATATTTATAACGCCTACGGCATTGTCCGCCACATAGGCTCCTCTTCCAGCGAGGGACACTACATATCCCTCGTTAGAGACGACCGCCGTGGATGCTGGCGGAAATTCGATGATCAACGAGTGACCGATTTCAACCCTTCGGGCCTTAGGCCAGCTGACAGCCTTCAAAATGATCAGGCATACCTTGTGTTTTATGAGCGAAGGCTAGCGAATTAGACATGATTTTTTTTTTCTTTATTCTTCTTTTCATGTTAAGGCGTGAGCGTGCATCCTGAAAGAGCATGGACGGGGTATGATGTTATGTACGGAGTACTGCTTATAAATATATATATCCATATATATTTTTTCTCCATATTTGATGTATTTCTTCAGCGCTACGACCTGCCTTTTCGGCTCTTCTAATTCCCCGATTGTTTTATCTACCTACCTAGGAATACCGGGCTATATTTTTTCTTCCTCCACCTCCTCCTACGTCTTATTCTATCTATGCCCCCTTTGGATTAAGTGCCTCTCGCTCAGTTTTACCCTTTGGGCTCCCCCTTCGTTTTGTTAAAACATATATACTCCCGAGGAAGATTTTGCGTGTTTATGGTTACGTGTATATGTCTTAGATCCTGAGTTTTGCGGCTGGTCGCAACCTGCTTTTTCTATTCCCTTCACGTTTTTTCCCTCCTTTCTTATTTTTTCCCACCCCCTCGGGTTTCCTCAGCTCGTCTCCTCGATCTGCAACATGTACATGTCCACATGGTATTCGCATGGAATGGGCTACATATCCCAATTCTTTGAGCATCCTTCAAGTCACGACTGACTGTGTCAATCTTTTTCTTGCACCCCCTCACCACAAGGCGACGGTTATGTACACCTACTCAAATCCTAAACGAATCAATGGGAACTATGGATCTCTAGTCGCATCCTCTCTTCCTACTTTACATTGTGCAGAAACATGATGCTTCGTGATCACAGAGTCTACATGTGTCTAGCGCCCAGCACAGCCACAAATCAACTGCGAAATTGAAATGCAGCCACTTTTATGTGTCCACTTGATTGGTTGGCTAGCGCTCAATCCCCCGCATTAGCTTCGTATAGCTAAGCTCTGCGAGCAAGCAGTCACCAGGCAACTTCATTCATCAAGGTTAAAACAGCAGGGCTTTTTGGCGTCTGCGTTGTTGAGGGCGAATATCTCTCGCCCACAGTGGCATGAAGTTTCTATATAGGGTGTGTGTACAACATATGTAAGGGAATGTTAGTGAGCCCATCCTACTGGCCGAGAAAGGTACTCTTTCCCAAGGACATCACTCAACCATGACACGATAAATACTCATAGGAAGCACAGGACGGAAAGAAGTCGATTCCCATTTATTCATTCATTTATCTATTTGACACGGCAAGTTACAAAATGCGGGCACCGGTAGACCCATTCTCTTGCTGCGGGGAGGTGAGCGAAGTCGACTCCGACTCACGCCGCACAGAATGGATCTGCTGCGCGCTCTGCTTCTGGATCCTGTGTCCCATCATATCATGTATGTATGGGTACAGCGCGTGCCGGACATGCTACGTCCGCCATGCGGAAGCAAAACATCACAGCCAGCTCATAATAGAAGCGAGTATCCCTCCCCTTCCCAAGAGGCGGCCGCGCAATCTATCACTCTCAGCGTCAAGATCGCGGCCATCACCGCACAATCCTCTCGTCCCGATTCCCCCAATGCTCTATGGGTCGAAATCCCAGGAGGGAACATTACATGATCAAGCTTCTAGCCCGCTATTCAAATTGAGCGCTGAACTTCGTCAGATGATTTATCGCAAGGTGCTGAGCTGGCATCAGTTTGCCATCATGCGAATCCGCAGCTATTCCGTGGCGAAGCAGGGAGGTGCAAAGGGTAAAGCAAAGCCTAGCCGATTAAGCCATTTAAAGTACTCAGCGGAGAGCGAACGGGGGCGGAAATTTCTCCAGAATCCCCCCTGGCTTCGGCGATACTTCGGTATAGTTGGAATTCGCCCTTCGCCTCTCAACAGGGACTTCGAGCCCAACGTACCCGGTGAGGAATTACTTCCGTTGGTAAAAAGCTGTCGCAGAATGTACGTGTATGTTGATCAGGCATCTGGTAAAGACTCGTGCCGATTCTCTCTAGTGTTCCCCTCCCCCCATTTATGTTTTTTATATAGATCTCCCTTCCCAATCAACTAACAACTAAAGAACAACAGCTACCTTGAAGCAATCGACCTCCTCTACTCCTCCAATACCTTCCACTTCTACCACGAGGACGACTTCCTCGCATTTTCCCGCTCCATCCTCCCCCAGCGCATGGAGAAGATTACATCCGTACACCTCCATTACTTCCCAGACTACTACTCCATAGCATCAAACCCACAACTCGTCCGCGTTATTCCAACAATGAGAGATCTACAGCTATTGGATATTTCCTTCACAGCAACCTCGGCCCGGCGGCAACGTTCAGCCTGGTTCGATGATGATGATGATGTTACGAAGAAGGAAAGTGAAGGGCTTGTCGCTCGAAAACTGCGGGATTTTGGTGAGAATGTCCTCATCAATTTGCGGGTGGAACCACCAAGCGACGGCGATCAGCTGTCGGGTCGATAGTTGAAATTGAATCACCACGTTTACCCCCTCTAATGTGACGTATTGCGAAGATGTATTCTTCTATCCCCGGCAGCTTAACATGAAGTTACCTTCTGTGAGCGCAGCATACTAGCTTGGGCAAAAAGGGGGGGAAACTATTGAGACTGCAGAGTTCATGGACATGGCTATGCTATTAACTTTTCAAATCGCTATTTCGATTCCCCGGGTCAATTTTCTCCAGGAATTTCCCACCATCTTCTGCCGAATATGTGTCTGGGCCTGGGTAAAATTGCCGCCTTTATAGGAGCCGTAGCTGCTGAGCAGTGTGGCAAGCAGCGTAAAAATTACATTCCCAAATCCCCGGCTGGGAAATCCATCGGAGAGGAAGGCATCGCTTGCAGCATTCATATTACTAAAAAATCATGGGTATATCTGTCTGTACTATCTAAAAAAAGAGAAAACTTTGCCAGCCTTGCATTACCCTCCACGACGACGCAGTCAGTAACAATTTATGGAGGCACCTTCATTCACCATCCACCGTCATCATCATTATACTTATGAAGCCAAGAACAATCACATCCACAAAACAGCCATCCCAAAAGCCACAGCGGCCGGTAACGCAAAAAGTCCAAACCTAAGCCCAGCATTCCCTACAGCGGCATTCTTCGGTGCCGCGTCATCGCCCGTCAGCCCCGTGGCATTATACGCCATGGAGATATTCGTATCTCGGGTTACGCCCATGAGTGCCAGGCCTGGGGCGCCATAGGTCAGGTTGAAGGAGATGGTTTGTCGGCCGTTTTGGGCGTTGAAGCCGGGGATTGCTGCGTGTTGTTCGCCGAGTTTGTCGACGATGGAGACGTCGGAGAATGAGCCGGTGGAGAGGTTGAGGTCGTAGGTATACCTACGATTTGCGGGTGTCAGCAGCAGTGGAAAGGAAAGCAGGGGACCGAAAAGGTGGGGGGTTAGGGGACGAGATAAATAGAATGGTTCTCTACAAGGAGAAAGAAAAAGGACGCATACACTCCCGCTGGCAAATCGCCGATATAAAGAAGCAAATAGTTCTCGCCTGGCTCTGCGAAGTCCTTCCACAAATCCTCTGCTCAGAATATTGTTTGATTAGCCCTTGTACGTACGTACGTACGTAATAAGTGGTTTAAACTCTCTTATATTTATATAATGTGAACTTACCGCCCGTAACGTCCCGGCTAGAGGTAGTCTCTACCTCCCGCCTGACTCTCCCTCCACAGTTTGTGGAAAAGCCACTCTTCGGCTGGCGCCTGGCACAGTCCCATCCAACAAGCTTCAAAACATAGGACCTATCCGGGCCGCTAGTTCTCTTTCCGATACCGCTCAGATAGCCTCCTTGGGTATTCTGTTGCCATGCTGGTACGCATATGCTTGTCCCCCGCCCGGGATTGCCTCCTTCTTTTGAGTTCGCTACATATTCCCCGCGTTAGAGAAAGAGGGCAATGCAAAAAAGGGAGGGGGAAAGGGACGGTAGGGGTTTTTCTCTGAAAGAATCAAGGCTACTCACCAAATGGAAATTCATCACAAGTAAGCTGGAACGGGTGATTATTACTCAGCTGGCTTGCGGAGAAATCTATGAACTGATAATACTGGTTGCATGGCTTGCTCGGATTCGAAGGGTCGCAATCCACATTTTGTGGTGCTATTTTTTTTTATCATATATATGTCAGCCATGAAAGGATACTCAAGAAGATAAAAATTTCCGGGGAGAAGATTTTGGAACGTACTGCAGAAGTTGTCAGGGCATTTCCTCCCCCTATTATTGGCTCTGGCCTTCTCGTCTGGCTCGTACTTCAATTGCATCTCTTCCGAGATACAACCGTTATAGTCCTTCATGCCTATAGTATACGACATCCTTTAGGTTGGTCTTTTCCTTAAACACATACCATCATAAAAACAAAAAATAAAATGGCGTAAGGGCTAATCACCGTCACACATGCTATTCATAACCTGCGCAAATATTCGTCAGCAAGATATGTCCCCCTTGTTACACAAATGTCGAAACAAAAAAAAAGAGTCGAGAAAATTCGTCACTATCAATTACCTACCTCTCTATTATCAACGCACACTCTTTTAAACCCCCCCTTCCCATCAGACACCCGCATAATCTTCTCCTTGAACAGCATTTTCACCTCAGGAAGATTTCCCGGCGGCGCAGCCTGTCTCGGCCTATTGGTAGCAGCACAACGAGTCGCCGTCGCCGTGCTCGTGGACCGGGTTCTCGTCGACGATGTGCTTGCGGTTGTAGTCGTGCTTGTGCTCGTGCGTGTTCGAGTTGACGACTGGGTCCTGGTACGGGTGACTCGAGTCGAGCAGGACCCGTCAGCACCACATCTGCCTCCCGGCGGGCAGCAGTTCTTGGGACAGCAGAAGGTGCCTAGCGGGCAAGAGCCCGAGCCATCTGCGCAGCAGTGCTGGGTCTGCGGCCAGTAGTAATAACGCGTGCCGCAACATTCAGCGCCAGGAGGTCTGCATTTTGCAGGGTTGTTGGGACATTGGACTAAGTCAGAATTAAATAAGTTAGGGAGAGGGGAAGTAAGCAAAGCAAAAAACAGAATCGAACAGAAGAAAAGAGTCAAGTTGGAGGAAACCAGGAAGCAGCCAGGCAAAACCGCGAAATTTAACTTCCGCCCGCCCCTGGAAGCAGATTAGGAGAGGAATATTTGGGGAGGGGGGAATTAAAATATAAAATCGCCGTACTCCATGAAGGCGGCACGCATCGATATCTCTGGCGCTTTGCCAGCACGGCGTCGCCCAGTTCTCCTACGGGGGGAGTCTGCAAAGGCGCTGTTCCCTCGAGACCAGAGACCAGATTGAAGGAGAAGCCAAGGTTGTCCGCCTTCACATAGGTAACTCCCTCATAAGCGATATCTTGCGCCGGCACGGGCAGGCCCGTAAGGCAGAGCAGCAGAAGAGTGTAAACGCAGGGCTGGATAGCCATCATATAATATATATTGTATTGGGATAAGTAGTTTTACTACTGTACGGTGGAAGATGAGGTCTGCCAGTCCAGTAGAAGTATATATATACATATATATATATATATATGTATGTATTTTTCCCCTCTGTTTTCTTGCAAAAAAAGATAAATATTTCAACGCGAGAATCCGAAGATGAGGCTCTGCTCAGTCTCCGCCTTGCAATCGACTTGACATGGTTCTGTAACTAGGTGAGATCCCCATGTGTGCTTGCTCGTATAACTGACAAATACCCTGATGGTGAGAAGCCTCGTGTTTGCTCGTGCTGTTCGTGCTTGGATTTTCTAAATAGTCGAGGTTTCCGAGACCCAAAGTGATGAGAGAGAGAGAGAGAGAGAGAGAGAGAGCTTGTTTGTTTGGCTTCTGCCCTGCGATGCTGCACTGCCCCATCTCCCGTGCATATTTACTGTAGGGGGAGAGAGATATCTCGTGTGTAAATAAGTGACGTCGAGGCAAAGCATCGCAGCACAGCCCTTCTTCTGACTTTGTTTTTCATTCTTTTTCATTTTCTTTCCGCCTAAAAGAACGACAGGAAGAAATAATAACAGGGTGAGAAACAGAGCAAGTAATAAGCAAATCAAGCGAACAGAATGAAATGCAAGTCAAAAATAATCGAAGAAACCACGTTTACGAAGAAAGTAGCAGAATCGAGAGAAGTAAAAAAAAAATGGACATTAACTCCATCCATACAATAAACCCCCACCTCTCTTACAGCGCAGTTTTTGTATACAGCGTATGTCATGGAACAAAAAACAAACATCAATGATTTCTCAGCATTTTACAATAATAAAAACCACCTTCTACAAATTACAGAAAAAAGGAAGGGAAAAAAACCACTACAGCTCATCATGTCCGCTCGGCTCATCCTCCTCACCACCAGCACCAGCAGCCCCATCCGCAGAGCCGTACAACTTGCTCGTGATCGGATATGCAACATTAGACAGTTTCTCCTTCTGCTCCTCGAAGTCCTCCGTCGTGGCCGTCGCGGCGTTCTCGTCGAGCCAGTCTGTGGCTTCCTTGATGGCTTCCAGGAGCTGTATCCAAAAAACACCGTTGGTTAGTATACAGAATTTCCATACTGGGGTAGTGGTAATTAGTGAAGTAGTCAAAACGTACCGTCTCCTTATCATCATCCGCAATCTTGCCGCCAAGTCCCTCCGCATCCTGCACCTGGTTCTTCAGGCTAAACGCATAATTCTCCAGCGTATTCCGGGCTTCAATCTTAGCCTTCATGGCCTTATCTTCCTCCGCGAACTCAGCAGCTTCAGCGACCATGCGGTCGATCTCGTCTTGCGAGAGACGACCCTTGTCGTTGGTGATGGTGATGGATTCGGCTTTCCCGGTGCCCTTGTCGCCGGCGGTGACTTTGAGGATGCCGTTGGCGTCGAGTTCGAAGGAGACTTCGATCTGGGGCACACCGCGGGGCGCGGGAGGGATGCCGGTCAGTTCGAATTTGCCGAGGAGGTTGTTGTCCTTTGTCATGGGACGTTCTCCTTCATCTGAGGGGTTGTTAGTATTGTACTTCTATGCTGAACAAAAGACACTAGATAGGGAAAGGAGATTATACGTACAAACTTGGATAAGGACCACTGGCTGGTTATCAGCGGCAGTCGAGAAGATCTGAGACTTGCGGGTGGGGATGACAGTGTTACGGGGGATGAGCTTGGTCATGATGCCTCCAGTGGTCTCGATACCGAGGGTCAATGGGTTAACATCCATGAGAACGATCTCAGAGGCACCCTCATCTCCAGAAAGGACACCACCCTGAATAGCGGCACCGAACGCGACAGCCTCATCAGGGTTGATGCCCTTGGAAGCCTTCTTGCCGCCAAAGAACTCTTCGAGGAGAGCCTGGACCTTGGGGATACGGGTGGAACCACCAACGAGAACGATATCGTGAATCTCAGACTTCTTAACCTTGGCGTCCTTGAGCACCTGCTCGACAGGGCGGAGGGTCTTCTTGAACAGATCCATGTTCAATTCCTCAAACTTGGCGCGGGTCAGGGTCTCGGAGAA